CCTATTGGTTCTTTAATGTGAGGGGCAGGGCTGGATCTACGAATCGTTTTTACTTCTTTTTTTTTTTTTTTTTTTTCTGAACCTCCTACTTATGCATTTTTTTACTGTAGACTTTAGTTGAATTGCCCAGATGTTAAAAGGATTTGGTGTAAAGATTGCACATTTGTCGGTTTGAAGGTTTTGCTCTAGTTCTACTTTAAACCATCATCGTATCTGATTTTAGTATCCTATTTCACTGTCAGATGCTGCACGCAAAATGTGGAATTACAGCTCTTGCTCAACATTAGAAATTTGAAGGACATTTTTTTTACATAGCAAAGTGCAGTGTATCCCACAAAATCAGTCACACGTAGAAGTACCTGCGTCCCTGCTGTGTTTTTAATTTATGCAAATACAGGAAAATAGGGTTCCTTTCTGTCGATGGAGGTGAGGTACTGTGCAGACTTGAAGATCAACTCCAGGATTTCCTCCCAACTAGAACATATACTGGGCGGAATTTATAATCGCAATTGCCGGTGTATGAACTTACGCGGAATATATTTGACGCACTTTGCACCAGATTTTTGAAGCTTGTGTAATGTTGTTCATAAATGAGATTAAAGGAGAACTATGAGATGAGTGATTTTCACTCAGCTCATAGTTCTAAGCCGACCTGTGACAATGAGACTGTCACAGGTCGGCTCAATAGATCGGGAGGTGAGGGAACACATACCGGTTCCCTCACCTCTCGATCCTGTCACGGCTCTCTGCCGTGACAGGGGTAGGGGCTGGATTCCCCTCTCCCCACTCCGATCCACCAGCGCTGACTGGCGGAACGGACGGGGGAGGGGGCGGGTACAGCTGGCTCTGCCTCTAGATAGGCAGAGCCAGCTGTCACTCACGCAGCTGGGCGGATCCCGTCATCTACGTCGGGATCTGCTCCAGGTGCGGCCTCTCAGTATACCGCGAGCTGTAGCTTGCAGTATACTGAGCCTAGGGTAACGGGAGGACGCTAGTTTGTGTCCTCCTGTTACCCTAAGGAGAACTATGGGGAAAAACACTGACCCCATAGTTCTCCTTTTAAAAAGACTCCAGGAAAGAAGGCTCGTAACTCCAGGCAAAAAGCTTAACTGTGTCTTCTTGAAGAAGTGGTCATGGGGACTTCTTAAGTTGCGATTTGTTTTGTTAGGTGATGCTCCACTTTCAGACAGCGGCAGGACAAGTGCAGATGAAAACAGGCGCAAAAAGTAGTGCAAGCTCAGGTCAAAACAGGGGCACATGATAAAAGACAGATTTGCACATAAAAAAAAAAAAGATCTAAGAGGCTAAAACTGCTGCGATTGCTTTAGTAAATTCCCCCCACTGTATCTCTGTTCTGCAATTCAAACTGGCTATGTCAGTGTTGTACGTTCTTCTCTACGTCACTCCTCTTTCTGACTGCTCGCACTTCCTGAGCCCGTTGAGAAAGTTCCTGCTTGCTAGTCATGTGGAATCATGAAACTCCATGTCCAGTGATTCTTTCAGGGCTGCCCATGGGTGGCGTCAATGTAAAAGGTTCTGGGTGTTGCTGTGGATGGTAGAAGGGACATAAATAAGTTCTGTTACCACAGGCCATAGCTCATATTTACTTGGTAGGGTAAAGCTCGAGCAGGTAGGTGTGATTTTGAGTGGTATAGACATAAATTGGTAGGACAGACTGCTAATTTCAACCCATTCAATTTCCCCCAGCATCAACATTGGGAGTGTGTTGACGTCCCCTCTAGTCCCAAGGACTACAGAATTTAAATTGATTTTAAATGCACTTTTTACTTGCCTACATCTGTGGTCACGTGATGCTCAGAGTCCAAAGTTTGTCTTTTGAATTGCAGTTTGTGAGGGTCCTTCGAGTATGTAGGTCACTGCCTGGGTGAGGTGGACACTTCTTCCTGCTGCAAGGTCCTTTCTGGAAGACTTTGGACTGATGACATCATGAGGAGGGGTAGCGGGCCTGGATAGTAGCAATGGATCTCTGAGCTCCACTCCTGGAAGCTGCACCAACAAGGGACATGTGAACGAAAAACCATTTTGGAAGCAATTAGTTTCATCCACAATTGGTTGTCATTTTAAAGGACCACTACTTCTACAGTACGTAATCCTTTATTACAGACTGTTTATTATACTGTTGGTTTGGTTGGGAAAAAAAAACCTCCAGTTGAACTATATATATTTTAGGGCCTTTAGCAGACTTTTGGTGCTAAAATTAAGGATCCACTTTTACTGTTTTTTTTTTGCTATCGAGTACGAATATTTATATTTTGGTACTCGCGGAGTACCGATACCGGTACTTCCGCTAGCATGGAGCCAGCTTCCCGTGCAATCAATGACACGCTGCCCGGCTTCTTGATTTCCCAGGATGCCGGCTTCCCAGCCAATTAGCATCGAACTGGCCAAAAAGCATGTAACCAGCTTCCCGGGCCAATCAGGAAGTCAGAAGTTCTGACACTTTTGTGCGCCTCCTCTTGTCGTTGTCTTCTTCCCTTTTTGAAGAGGCTCGGTCTTCAGGACAGAGAAACTGCAGCAGCAAGAAAATGCCCACACATACGAGTAACAGCTTCAGAATCCCTGCAGATTTGCGTGAATGTTTATAGTGCTGACGTTTTTCTGTCTTATATATTTCTGTTGGCCAATAGTAATGGGCTGGTTAGCATGTGACTGTAAGTGCAAGCTCTGCTAATACCCAGAAGTATCAGAACTTGGACTGTCCGAGCTTCCTGGGATTGGTCAATGTCTGCAGGGTATCTGGCGCCACTACATGTATGTGCAGGAAACAAATGTGGGGAAAACATAAATAAATTAGATGTGCACCTGTGTTGAAGACAAATGCACCAGAAGCTGGAAAATCCAAAATCCCAGTTTTTGCACCCCATAAATTAATATCTATACTACAAAGTAAGTGCATATAGTAGCCGCAGATCTCTGCCTGACCAGATCTGCACATCGGGCTCACTTTAGCTAATAAGTGTTTGTAAAGATGCTGAACAGAGAGAAGCCGATTCGGGAGAAGCTGAGCAGAGGGATGGAGGTAGCCAGCAGGTTATTTGTAATGAGTATCTGGATGGCCATTCACCAGAGAGAGAGCTGTGGGCTGCCGGTACTTCTCTCTTTTCCTGGTGATCACTTCCTGATCGCTGGGGAGAGGGGAGAAGTGATGCAATGAGCTTACTATAGGTCACTGTATTGCTCCCTACACAGTCAGTGCATCTGAGGGACCTCTGTTTATTAGGTGCACTGGGCCATGTATGGCTTTTTGGGGCCACTATGTCAGCAACAACATGATAGGGCCATTCACTTGTAAACTCCTGTGGCAGGGACTCATGTTCTTGTAAAGCACTATGGAAAGTGTCAGCACACTATTTCTGAACAGAACTTCCTTGTGCACAAGAGGGCCGCCTTCAGTTTGTGGTTGTGTGGGGGGCCTGGATACCACAGTTTTTTAGTCTAGTGTTCCCTCCCAAATGAAGAAAGAAAAGCAAAAAGTGACTCGGCATCAAAAGTGTTAGATTCGTGTCAATTGTTTGTTTTTTATTTTGTTATATGTCTGCCTAGCAGGGAATACCTGTGGTCACTTAGAGGAACCAGTAGTGCCTGGGCTGTAATGTGATGGATGTTTCAAATCCTCTTCTTGTACTTTGAAGATTGAGGTTTGAATGAAAACAACTAAAAAGGTGACCTATACTCTCTCGTTAAACTCCAGCCCTGCCTTCGTTCTTTCACACTGCAAGAGTTAAATGCTCGCTTTGGTCTACTCGCCTGATCCTCGATCCCGCCTGGCTGTTGGGTTAGACCAGTCCTTTTTATCTCTTCTTTTGCTGAGAATTTGCATAAATGAAAAAAATCAATGTACTTCAGTTTCTTTTTTTGTATTATTTTGCTTGATGGTAACAGCAGTCCTTTCCAGATATTAGGTAAAAATAGGCACTTGGGTTTTCTGTAAGCTTAAGATCCGCTTCTCCACTTCCTGAGGCAGCTGTTTTAAGTATTGTCTGATTAGACTTCGAAACAGGAAGCTCATAGTTCTATTTCACTGCAAACAATGCTCAAACAGTCTTTTTACCCAACCCTCCCTGCCAACAGTCCGGGGACCCTCTTCAGACATAACAATCTGGACAAGAACTTCAACCAGCATTTAGCCCTTGTTATCTTATAGTAGTGGCAGCAGAATCTTCCAAATGTATCCGGGTGTCACCATCACAGCGCTGAATAATACCTCTTTGTTGTTCCATTATTGCAAAACCCAAAAAGTATGCATCGGGCACCCAAATGTACCTTAATTTGCCTTCCCGCCTCCTGTTCATTGCCTCAAATCACGTACTGAAAAGCTATGTGGGCGGCCATAGCTATCCTTTGTTCCCGAAATTGATAATTCCCTCGTGTCATGCGCATTCATTGAATTCAGTACTTTGAGCCACTGATTGGAGCTAGTATGCACATTAGGAATAGGACTTCTCTTGCCCCATGCTTTTGTTCTGCGTCAGTGACTCAAAACATGGAAGTCCAAAGGCATCCAAGCAATTAGCATTTTCAGGAGGCTCTCTCAGTGTTGGTTTTCTTGAAGTAATTATTAGCATAGTTTCACTTCTACCGAAATGAATTCTAGTTTATGGTGTATGTTACTAAGTGTCTTCTTAGGGCTTTATAAGGAAGGTCTTGGAATTTGCTGCCGGCTCTTTCCAACTGTCATGTCTACCTACCTGCCATGGACATTGAATGTTATCTTGCTTTCCCTGTTTAGTCTCAGGTATAGAGAAGAATGTAATAATGGTGTTGCCAAGAGATGGGAATGCATAGGACGTGGGTTGACTCTCAAAAATACAGATCCAGAGATCAGTGCTGATATTGTATGACTGGGTCATTTTGTGCAGTTTTAGAGTGGTTTTCAATGTGTGGCATTTATAACATCTCCTCCCTAGTTTTGAGCTTTGTTTACTCTCCAATACATGGTACATCTAAACATATCATTTTTTTTTGGTTTATCATTGCAGAGCCCAAACATTTAGAAGATGACAGAAGAGGTGGTCGTGGTCGCCAAGTTTGACTATGTGGCCCAGCAAGATCAGGAATTGGACATCAAAAAGAATGAGAGACTCCTGCTCCTGGATGACTCAAAATCATGGTGGCGTGTGCGCAATTCCACAAACAAGACTGGCTTTGTGCCCTCTAACTATGTAGAGAGGAAGAACAGTGCCCGAAAGGCCTCTATTGTGAAGAACTTAAAGGACACATTGGGTAAGCACTACCTGCAACATTCACTTTGCAGAAGATTTGATGTCCGTTACTTTTTAGATATGACTCTACTGTTATTGCAGAATTGTCAACTGGGTTGCTTGGAGTTAAGGGATCTGCTTGATTGCATCTGAAGTCAGAAGGTTTCCATTTTCTATGCATACTGGGGCTGCAACAACTAATCGATTATGAGAATCGTTTGCAACGATTCTCATCGATTAGTTGCTGCTGCTCCGTTCTCCTCCCCTTTTAGTACGACTGAACCCGGCAGGTTCATAGTATCTCCAGATATCAACAAAGTTTTTAAAAGAGCCCTTACCGGTCGGCCGGTATGAAGCTGGTTTCACTCAGTCTTAATTGATTGAGGTCAGTTATGACTCCTTGTTTTACGGGGCAAGTTTCACATTACTATCTTGGTCCGGCCAACGGGTGAGAGCTCTTTTAAAGAACTTTGTTGATATCTGGAGATACTGTGAACCTTACTAAGGACATTGTCCGCAAACTTGAATTGATGTTCGTACAACTGCAGCCAGGAAATATGCATTTTCTAAACTCTTACACGGGACACGGAAGGGTTAAATAAATCATAATCTATCAAAGAGTTGCCATATATGAATTGGTGACGTAAGATTGCAATGTAACCAACTGCACAGCCTGAGTATGGCAAACTGTGACTACAAGATCAAGCCACATAGGTGAGGCGGAATGACTACATTGTGTGTACTTTGAGAGAGATGTATTAATAACAGTACAGATGTTGCAACTGTCTATGATCTAGCCAATAACATTACATTGTTACCAATATTGGAATGCCTGCTTACTAAGACATTGGATTACTGTGTTCAAGTTTTTCTAGCAAGAATCAATTACCTGTATCTCGTACGAAAGAAGCACCAAGATTTGGATATAAGAACTTAATTTTCAGAACCTATGAGGGGTGAATTGGAAGCCCTGTGTAAGAGCCCATTCACACCAGGGCGGTTGCCGCGCTGATCTTGCAAGGGAGGTTTTGTGAGTTTTAATTGCGTTTCAGCGCTGAAACGCAATTGAAAAAGCCCAAAACCGCGCTACTCAGCACAGTTCCATTGAAACCTGTATGGAAACCGCACTGATCAGCGCGGCAAAAATAGTGCAGGGAGCAGTTCGCGTGGGGGGCGCTTCGGATTGCGCGGTCGCATGAACAGTCCCCATAGCAATGTATGGGATCGTTCACGTCGGCGGATCTGTGCAGCCGAACCGCCCCAGTGTGAACAGGGTCTGAATGTGTGCCAGTGTGAAGACAATGGTGTCATGTTTTTAATGAGGTTGTTATGATGCGGTGAAGGGTTAAATACATTTTTTGCAATTTGATAAAAATGTATACTTCTGGATGTAAACTAAATATTTTGTGTTTTTTTTTTTTTTAGTTCAGACTCCTGGGTGTGGCATTTAGCCAATTAAAATGAGCATGGGTTGGTGCGGCTCTTCAAGGGTTTTTGGGCCGTTATAGTGCATCATGTATGACCTTTTAGTAGAGGTGATGGATGTTCTCTGATTCTTTGGTTTAACGGAGAGGCTAGTCTTTTGTGATCTTCTCTAGTGGGAGCTGTCGGTTATTTTTAGCAGGGGTTGTCTCAGTGTGGTTAATTGTATCTAATATTTTATGTATTTTAAAGGGCCACGTTACATTTGTGCGGTGGTGGGGAGATGGCCACTACAGACACTGTTGTTTTGCCAATGCTGTAGTATAACACATTTACTCGCATGAAGGGATTACCAGTAAGGTGAAATTAAGGAGGTTCTTTCATTACAAAGTGTGGTACTTAGTTTTCCCAGAGGGAGCGAGTAGACTGATGCTCATCTTTTCAGGACTCCACTAGGGATCAATTTACAGCCATCTCTGTCACAGCTACACCTTGACAACGCCCAGGTTACTCGCGCATGAAGCGTACGTTGGCCTAAGACTCAGATTAAGTTTTTTTGGAATTTTAAATTATGAAGGGCATTGGTGGAGGAATTTATAATGCTGCTACAGACTGGTCCAAAGTGAGCTTTCTATATTTGTGGAATTAAAGTCCCATTATGCTTTATCATGCAGCACTAATGCCCGGTTCACACCTGGGCGTTTTGTAGCGCGTTCAAACGCTCTGCAAAACGCTCAAACACCAAAATCCCATTATTTCCTATGGGTATGGTTCACACCTGGGCGTATTACAGGCCGTATGAACGCGCTACAAAACGTCCTACACCCCAAAGTACAGGAGCTTCTTTGGGGCGTTTGTTGCACGTTTCCATTTGGGATACAGACAAGTAGGCCTCGGAAATGCGCATTTGACGCGCGACAAACGCGCATATTCGATACGCCTAGGTGTGAACCCAGCCTTAAGGTGACCATACACCGTGTGAATTTCACACAGTGGGTTCTGCTGTTGGCAACCTTTGGCCAGCATTCCTCGATCAGCTGATGGAAGGAGCCGCTCAGAAAATCTTCATATGAACAGAGCCGGCAGTCAATGAGCTGACGGCTCTGTTTGGGTATTCTGACAGTGCCCGGAGCCAACAAAGTAAACAACGGGGATTTCTGGATCGATGCACTCGCAGTGTTGATGAGGAATCTGCTCTGTTTTTCTTGTTCGGCCTATAGGTTGGAAAACAATGATTTTTCTACACCCTACATTGTAGTTTCCATTGTACACAGCAGTCTGGCGGCCATTTCAAAACCTGAGAGGACAGCTAGAAAAAAGTAAGTTTTTGTGTTTAGATCCAGGATCTGCATATGCCGGCATCATGTCCTTTAAGGGTCCTATTTAAAATGCAGAGTGAATACCACTGGATATGGTTTACTCAATGAACGCCACAGAATTCTTTATTAAAAGCATGCTGTGGTGCGGGTCTGCAGTGTCTTATGGTGTTCATACAAATTATGCTGCATAGTACCTGTATGAATGGGATTTTGTTTGCTTCAGGTGGTTTTTGCATACTCATACAAGTCTGTGGTATTGCAAACCCTCTTCAAGCATGTCACAACATGCCTGGACCAGATCTGCACCCGTTTCTGCAATCGCGGTACAGTGCGTTTGTGACGCGTTCCAGTACGTTCTCTTTTGTTTTTTGGGGGCAATGTCATTATGCAAATCTCTTCCTGCTCCATGTCATAGCGTCTGTTGCGTTCCAGTCCTGTGCATTTGTGACGCATTCCGGTGCAGGAAAAAATTTACATGCAGCATTTTTTTTCCTGCACTGGAACGGACTGGATTGGGGTGAACAGAGCCCAAAAATAACCTACAAATGCATTGGGATGCATTTTTGGTGTGGAGGAAAAATGTAACGTACCGCATCTGATCCGGACATGGTGTGAATGGGCCCTGAAGGAGGTCATCTTCACCTGTCAATTAATTCTGAATGATCTCAGAAGCATTTAATACGGATTCCTTGTAATCGCAGTGTAGTAAATACACACGACTAATACATTTTACAGCATTATTGAACATAGGAAATGTAGATATGATTTTCCTTGGATTGCTGATCTTCTGTATTTCAACCCCAAGTACTTGTGTGTCTCAGTAAGGCTTTGCTTCCATAGCTCAAAGTTGTCCTGGATAAAGACCTAAGCATGAGACATTTGAGTGTGCGTATTTGTCATTGGTTGCATTGAAGGCTTTGTTTCCAGATCCTTACCTATAGTGTAGAAGAAAAGATGTCCACATTATTCTCATTCTTGTCGCTGGATGAATGAAGTGGGTTTGTGTAATTGCTGTTTTTCCTATCTTGTCTCTTCTGCAATTACTGATCTATAATTACTTTAATTAGCAAGCTTAAGAGTTTCCTATGGCTAGACATTAGCAACACTTCTTTACACACTCCCTGGCACACCATGTAAATGGGTCTGTTCTGGGTTTTAAGGACGAGGTAGATTCTTTGGGTACCTACACATGCCCTTTTGTCAAGCAGGTGGAGGAGAAACCACTTTTTTCATGTTTAGTTATACTGTATATGCAAAAGAGATAATTTGGTACAAAAGGCGTCCCCATCACACTTTCTAGATAGCCAGCAAAACAAATAAATCTGTTTTAACAAGTCAGATGAAAAGCAGAGATGTCGGTTATATACATCTATAGATATATGGGGAATCCACGCTATGCAACCCCTAAGTGTGGTCCCCAACTCTGATTTTACCAACTAGAACATGTATAGCAATGTACAACCCGAGAGCAGGCTCCCCAAGAGTCAGCCACATACCAGAATTCCACATATCACCTTTACTAGGCAGCTGAAATATTCTAGTGCCTTGATTCTCAACCGGTGGGTTGTGACCCCGTGTTTAGGGGGTCGCTGCATGCCTTCCACTTTTCCAGGTAAGAGGCTCCTCAGCCAGTCGGTTCTCGCACCAAGCAGCACACAAAATATGCTGCCCGGTGCTGAGTGTCAGCTTGGGGTGGGCTGGGGGTATGGCCGCGAGTGAGCTCCATCCATACGTCCATTGCTTACAGCTCCTTTGCATGCCCTGTAGAGGTGCCTGGACCCGAGTGATGTCACATTCTGGCTCCCGGCACCTCTACAGGGCATGCAAGGGAGCAGTACAAGCAATGCACATATGGATGGAGCCCTGTCACACCACATCAGCCCACACTGGACCCCAGCCTGAGGATCCACTAAAGTTCTCAAAAACTAGGGAAACTAGGTGGGTCTTACACTCCCAAAAAAACATGAGAATGTGTCTGTGGTTGTGTCTGTCAGTGTTTTTGAGGGCCCGTTCACACTAGTACAGTGCGTTAATGGCACAGTCCCATGCGATTAATGCAGTTTACCAAGCAATTGCACCTTCTGTGCATTCTGGTGTGGGAGGTGCGTTGCATTGCCATTCATTTGAATGGTACCCCAAACGCACCTCCCACCCACAGTCCGATCGCCCACACCAGAGCGCGTGGTACCGCAATGCCATGTGTTCCATTGCAGTGCAACTTGGGTCGTGACTTGATGACCAGGGACAAATGTTGGTCCTGAGGTTACACAGGTTGAGAACC